AGCATTTTCCCACTGATCTACTTTCATTAAAAATTTGATTTTGTAACCTCTAAATCTACCATGGCACCGCAGCTCTCTCATAAGTCTTCTCTCTTTAGTGTGCAGAATTTCCTGCTCTGCCTCATTTTGTCTCTTCCCCTTTAGGGAGTACAGTAAGCACAGTGTGTAGCACTTGATGCTAAATGAAAGTAGGAGGTCCGAGCTGAGGCCACCTGTTTAGGTTGGTGCATTTCCATATGGCAGTCACTGCTCCTGCTTTTCTCCTTGCTGAGATATAGCCACAATGCCTCTATTAGGCTAATAGCAACATATTTGTATTTTCTTGAGATCTTTCATCTTTGAAATGAAGACCTTAACAGCGAAGAGGCTTTATTTCTGCAGAAGAATGTGGAAGAGGCCCACTTCTAGAACAGCACGCTGGAGACCCCCAAGGGGCGGGTGCATCCTGTGTCGCGGGCTCCACCACCACCCTCCTGTGTCTGAGCTGCATTCTTCCTTCTCTGAAGCTTTTTCCTTAACTCATATTTTCAGAATTTCTTCTCTTTCCTCTTGGACTTGGAAGTTATGAAAGAATGCAACAGTCCTTTGCAAGATCTCTTCCAAAGAAAAATTCCATTGCAACCAACTCTGGTACTTTGTAGCTTCATTGAGTATTTTCACATAGCTGAGAAAGATTTAAAAATCAAGCTGATTTCACTCTTCAGAATTAGGCAAAACCTGCTTAACATGCTCCTATTTATGGCATTTTCTTGAGTATCTTACAAATACAAGCTTATTGTTGTGCATTCAGACATGCTGTTATTTCTGAGAGAGATTAACCTTCTGGGTGTTTTCTCCTTTACTTCTCTTAGTAAACTTGGATTGCCACATATTCTGACTCAAGAGCATCATGCACTACATACATTATTCTTCACAAACTGTTCCAAGTGGCAATAATGTTCTGAATGGGTGGAGCAGTTGCTAATAATGCTTAGGCACTTTGCAGTTGAATGATCATTCCCAGGGTAAGTTTCAAAATGGTCTCTATTAGGCTCTTTTGTTTCCAGCATTCCAGTAAACTCTACTTTTGTTGTTGTGGTTAATGACCTTTGCTGTTTCATTCTAGACCCAAGTAGAGTATTCATTTTAGCCTGCCTAATTATTTGGAATTTTCAGAAGCAAAAAGCTTGCGACAGTTACAGTGGTGTTAATAAGTATCATCTTTGTAGCGCCCCCAAGACTTCTTTCGAAAGGGCCTTAATTGTAAGATAGGTGACTCCTGAGCGCCACCATCCACCGTCATCACCACCCACATCTGCTGGCAGTGGACGCAGGTGGTGTGGCATTGTCTGATGGATTGTTTCCAGTGAAAAGCTCCTGTTACGAGGCATGCCTGGAGAATCAGGCCATAACAACACTTCAGGCTGCTGAGTCGGACTCGGAGATAGTGGGAAAGGCTTCTCTGCAGGCTGCAGGGCCTCAGGGTCACTTTTGTGCACACTCTTGTAGTGTCCGGAATGGACAGCCAGTATCATAGCACATAGTTGCCCTGACGGATTTTTTTTTCTTGGAATTGGATGTTTATGTTGCAGATCTGGCTTTTTAGTTTTTGGCTTTGCTGTGTTCCTTGAGTTGCAGATTTCACCGTATCTGAAATCTGAGAGTACAGAGGCTCCAAGGATGCTACAGAGAAGAAGGTGAACTGCAGTATGGGCAAGAGGTAGGCAGGATGGAGGATTTTGTCAGGGGCGTTTGGGAAGGAAGAAAATCCATCTGCTGCATGCTGCTCTGCAAAGCCATGCTTGGCCTCGGTTGGATTGGAAGGCAGAAGGCAGCAAGTGCCTGGGTTCCCTGTGGCAGAGGCAGCACGTCACCCTCTCGTGCCTGTCAGGTGGTGTGTGCTGTCACTGGTGATAGCTCAGTAGAGTTCTGCCCCCACCCCCACTTAATGCATAACCTGCAGTTAGGATAACTACCATGCTGTTGGTGCAAATAACTGGAATCTTTTCCCTGGTATGATTAATACACTCTCAAGTTCTGTCATTCTCTTGGTTTTAAAGTTCCACAGAAATTACTAGCTATTTAATATCAATATTATATCAGTTCACTTAATTCATACTAATTTTATAGAGAAATACTTTTTCAAAGCTGTTTTCTAGCCTGACTATGTGATTTAGCAGCAGTTTCTTGTTTTGAATGGCGTTTAAACACTTCAGTCATAGTTAATCTGAGAAATCAGGATTCAGATTTCCTAAGCAGGCAGTGTATCAGTTCTTTCTTCCTCAGATTAATGATATTGTGGTGTACTTGTTGTCTGTACTTTTGGCCAACCATGGCCTCAAATTATTTGAGAAGTATGTGTTGTATTTTAAAAAACAAAAAAAAGCTAACAGGAGTCTCATTTTCTCCACACGTAAAGGGGTAGACGAGGGGCAGGGATGAGAACAGTGGCAGCACCAGCACTGGGCCTGGGCTTCAGAAGCAGCAGTGAAGCAGCAGCAGATTGTTTTGGCTTGGGATTCGTTATGCAAAATTCTAGGTTCAGATCCTTAGCAGAGATGAATAAATATTTCCCCTTTATATAAACAGAAAGAATTTTTAGGGATAGGCAGGCTGGATCATGCCTGTAAATCCAAACACTTTGGAAGGTCAAGGCAAGAGAATCACTTGAGGCCAGGATTTTGAGACCAGCCTGGGCAACATAGCAAGACTCCATCTCCACAAAATAAAAAATTAGCTGGGTGTAGTGACATGTATCTGTAGTCCCACCTACTCTGAAGGCTGAGGTGGGAGGACCAGTTGACCCCACGATTTGAGGCTGCAGTGAGCTATGATTGCACCACTGTACTCCAGCCTGGACAAGAGTGAGACCCTGCCTTTAAAAAAAAAAAATTTTTTTTTTAAATAATTCTTTGTTTTTAGAAGTAGAATTCACAAGCCAGGGTAATAGTTGCCTTTAATCCTACAATTAAGTCTGCATATACTCTTCTTTTTCTTTTCTTCTTTCTTTTTCTTTTTCGATACAGTCTTGCTCCATCACCCAGGCTGGAGATCGGTGACACAAACGTGACTCACTGCAGTCTTGACCTCACAGCCTCAAGTGATGCTCTTACCACAGCCTTCTGAGTAGCTGGAACCACAGGCATGCACCACCACACCTAGCTAATTATTAGTATTATTTGTAGAGAAAAGTCTCACTGTGTTGCTCAGCTAGTCTCAAACTCCTGGCCTCAAGTAATCCTCCTGACTGGGCCCCCCAAAGTGCTGGATTTACAGTTATAAGCCACTGCACCCAGCCCTTTTTTCTGTTTTGTTAGAACATTCAACATTTCAGATGATCACGCTCTATGAGAATTTCTGAACCAAACATTGGCTGATTTATCCAGGATTCATGTCCCTGTGTCAGACTGAAAGTTAGTTTCATGGGGTCTTCAAAAATCCTGCATGAATAAAGTGAAACAGTGGGGAAAGCTGCCCTTTCCCTTCTCCCCAAAAGGCTTGGGACTGCTGGCGCAGACAAGCTCCACGTTATGCTCTGGTTGCTTCTTAGGGTTGAGACCTTTAGCATTTTACTAAATGTTGGATATGCTTTTGTTTGGGTCATGCTAAGGTTGTAGTAACTTGTTAATCTTAGCATATTTTAAGGCCCTTTCATTGGTATATTAGCCAGCATGGTGGTAGCTCAGACTGGTGAGGTGGGATGCTCACTAATTGTAATGGTTCCTTCTTACTCTTTTGAGCTGGGTTCTCATAAGTTGTTACTGGCTTTCTCACCTTTGTGTTTGAATAGGAGAGAAGAAAGTTTTTTAAGTCAGTGCTTTCTCTTTCAGAAAAATTAAAGTTAGTATCTATAAATGTGTGTATATGTGTTTAGTTTGTCAGTGATTATCTCTTGAAGAAAAGAACTGCATATAGGCCTGGCATGGTGGCTCATGCCTCCCAGCACTTTGGGACACCAAGGTGGCCAGATCACCTGAGGTCAGGAGTTCGAGACCATCCTGGCCAACATGGCAAAACCCCTCCTCTACTAAAAATACAAAAATTAGCTGGGCGAGGTGGTGAGCATCTGTGGTCCCAGCTATCCAGGAGGCTGAGGCAGGAGAATCTCTTGAACTCGGGAGGAGTTGTTTGCAGTAAGCCGAGATCACGCCACTGCACTCCAGCCTGGGCAACAGAGCAAGATTCTGTCTCCAAAAAAAAAAAAAAAAATTGCATATAAAATCTTTTGATGTCTTCTGCTGTTTTCCCTATGACAATTTAAAGACGAAAGAGAAAAAAAAAACACAAAGGACCATCTGCCTCCAAAAGGACATTCCGCGTGGCCTTTATCTCAGAATGTTCTCTGTTGTACTTTCCTCCTGGGCAGTCTACTTTCATATGCACCAGTTTCTCAAGACTTTTAGAGTTTAATTAAGGCAAGCTTTACAAAATTTGTTTTCCCTTTCTTTTTAGTGGCACTTGGAGATTTAGTAAGTTGTTATAATCCAGACAAAATTCATATTTTGCTTAAACACTTTTTAAATTTTTGAAATGTTATATATAAAACTAGCATTGATTTAGTGGATTATTACCCATACTTACAGCTTTGAAGAGTGAATATTGTGTAGTTACTTTTTAAATTTATGTTCCTTTTTTTAAGAATTTGAGCTTCTTAATGATGTCTTGTTTCATGACTAAAAATCTGAGAAGCTACTTTTACTTTTGGGCACAAAGATCTGTTTGGCTGGTGGATTTCTTTGGTGTGGGAATTGCTTAAAATGCCAAGCCATTCATCTTCCAGAAGCAAAGCCCTCTGGTTATCTTTGTCTAACCTTCAAAGGGAAATGAGATGCTTCATTTTAAAAGGCCTTGATGTAAAAATGTGTTTCAGATTTTTTTTTTTTTTGGCAAATGTGTTGATGGAAAATCCTTTAAATTCTCAATAAGATAATTTGCACTAAAGTGCAAAAATACCTTCCTCTGTCAAGTATTTGCAAATGGTTTCAGTGAATATAATCTTATTTTTTTCCAACTGTTTTCAGAGTAATTCTTCAGTCCAGTGTTCAGAGCTGTAAAACATCTGAACCTAACATTTCTGGCAGTGCAGGCATTACTAAACGAACCACCAGATCTGCTTCAAGGAAAAGCAGTGTTAAAAGGTGAGAAAAGAATCCTCCTCTTCTGCAAGCATTGGTTTTCCAGTTTAATCTTGGGACCCTGTCTCTGGAGAGTGACGTGAAATTAGGAGAAAGTAGAAGCTCTGTGATGGGAGATTAATCAAATGTGTATTACTTGTTCATTGTCTAAGAAAATCTGGATTATTTTAATGTAGGCTTTCGTTTTGTTTTGTTTTTCAGAAGTAATTCTCAACACCGCAAGTATGATCTCTGGGTCATGATAAGGGAAAGTTTTTAAATTAAGAATTTCCAAAGCTGGCTGTCAGGACTTGGAGGACATCTTTCTAGGTGTATATCAGATACAGTGTCATTGTTGGACAGTTAGCTGCAAATTAGTGTGATGATGGAAATGAGATAACTCTAGAGAGTTTGGGGATCCTTCTCTACCAGGTGACTCTTTGTCCTCTTGGCCACGGCCCACACCTGAGGCTCAGTTACTTCTTTCACGGTCATCACTGTCTTCAGTAAGTGTAGGCAGAATTTCACAAGGAAGCCAATGTGTTCTGTGACCACGTCGGTGATTCTGTTGTCCTTGGAGATTTCTCATGAAGTGGACACGTCATTTTTAAAGTATTCTGAAAACAGATACCATTTGAAGAGAGAATAGATGGCCCAGGAGTGGAAGCGGGGCACCTTTTCATCTTTGCCTGGTGTTGGCAGCCCGTGCAGCCCTGTTTTTGTCCTGGTAAAAATGATCTCTTCTAATAGACATGAGTGACCAGGAGATAATCAGAACCAGACTTTAAAATGTCCTGCACATGTGCCTCGCTTCTTTTCAGCTTCCCTGTCCTGTATATGTGAGGCTTTGGGCCTAGGGGCCTTATCAGTGTGAAATTAGTCCCCAGTGCAAAACAGCCAGTCTCCCGAGAGACCCTTGGCAGAGCTAGGAGCTCTGTGCGCTTTGCCTTTCGAGGACTTGTGCAGCTGTGTTGTGTTTCCTCTTTGCTGTTTGTTTTGTACAACTTCACTGCACACTTACACGCACATGGGGATGCAGCAGCGCCCAATGAGCATTTGAGGACTGTCAAGCACTGACTCATGATTTCAGGATTTAAAATTTTTCATCAGAGATGTATCAAATATTCCTGTTTCTTTACTCTTCAGTTGTACTTGAGAAGAATACTGGAGAAAAACTGATGAAAGGTCAAAGATTTAGGTATGTTGGAACAATGCAGAGTGTTATTTATAACAGTGAGAAACAGGAAATGGGCTCAACATTGTTACATTGTGCCAGATGCTGTGGGAGTCATACAGTTTAGTTCACAAAGCAATGAGTGAAAACAGCCACACATAACAATTCTCAAGCATGGTTTGCGCCTATAATCCAAGCACTTTGGGAGGCTGAGCCAGGCGGATCACTTGAGGTCAGGAATTTGAGACCAGCCTGACCAACGTGGTGAAACCCACTCTCTTCTAAAAATACAAAACTTAGCCGGGTATGGTGGAGCACACTTGTGGTCCTAGCTATTGGGGAGGCTGAGACAGGAGAATCACTTGAATGTGGGAGGTGGAGGTTGCAGTGAGCCAAGACTGCTGCGCCACTGCCCTCTAGCCTGGGAGATGGAGGAAGACCGCATCTCAAAAAAAAAGAAATATTCTGAAGTATGACTCTAATTTTGTAAGTATACTATATATGTATAGAAATACCTACAATACATCTATATTTATAGATGAATAAGTTTCTATATACGTATAGAAATAAGACAAAGGAAAAATATGCCCTCATGCTAATAAAAGTTCTGGTTAGTGGGACAGTTGGATTTTTTTTTTTTTCTTTTTTATCATCTTATTTTCCAATTTTTCTACAATAAGCGAAGGGAAATGGGTGTGTTTTAACTGACACTTTTAGGTGAGCCAAACTATTAAAAATTCAGGCTGGGTGTGGTGGCTCATGCATGTAATCCCAGCACTTTGGGAGGCAGAGGCGAGTGGATGAGGTCAAGAGTTCAGGATCAGCCTGGCGAAGATGATGAAACCCCGTCTCTACCTAAAATACAAAAATAAGCCAGGTGTGGTAGCAGGCGTCTGTAATCCCAGCTGCTCAGGAGGCTAAGGCAGGAGAATCGCTTGAACGCGGGAGGCAGAGGTTGCATTGAGCCACGTTCATGTCACTGTACTCCAGCCTGGGCAATAGAACAAGACTCTTGTCTTTAAAAAAAAAAAAATTAAATTAAATTAAAAGTCTACCATTGATGACAATTAATTTTGACATGTCTTGAAGAGGGTATATTATTTTTAAGTATGAGTGCCCAGGCTTTTGTTTTTTCTTTGAGACAGAGTCAACCAGGCTGGAGTCGACCATGCTGGAGCGCAGTGGTGCTATCGGCTCACTGCAACCTTTGCCTCCTGGGTTCAAACCATTCTCCTGCCTCAGCCTCCCAAGTAGCTGGGATTACAGGTGTGTACTACCACACCTGGCTTATTTTTGTATTTTTAGTAGAGATGGAGTTTTGCCATGTTGGCCAGGCTGATCTTGAACTCCTGACCTCAAGAGATCCACCCTCTTTGGCTTCCCAAAGTGCTAGGATTACAGGTATGAGCCACTGTGCCCAGCTGCTCAGGCTTTTATTACAGCCTAGTGTGTCTTGCATATATAATTCTCCTTTTTGCTTTTTTAGATTATGCATTTTAGGTTATAGAGGAATAGAGTCCAGAAGCCTGGCTGATGCTTGCCAGGTCACACCACCTTCCTCTGAGGAAGAAAGGGCTGGTCTTGCCTCCGTTTTTCTATCTAGGTCTTGTTGCTTTTTCACGTCACTCTGGTGACCTGAACTCCTGCTTCTCTGGAGAAGGGGTTCCTGGCTGCGGCGAGCATCTGGCTGAGGTCCCTGTGAGGATGATTTGAGGCTCTTAAGGTAGATTGCACAGTCAGGGATCTGGACTGAATGTTGAAATGGCCCAAGCCAGTTTCCAGGAATTCTGGATAATGTTGAAAACCAGAAAGACTTACTTTAAATTCCAACATGGACTTTCAGAGATGATGTGGAGAGCAAAAGGAGTTGAGCAGTGAGGATGAATTGGGGCCTGCGGTTTATTTAACCACCTTCCTCTATGCAGGTTCGTTTTCTGTGCCTCTTTTGGGGCTTTGGCCTGTGTTCACATCACCTTACCTGTTATCCACCTACAGCTTACAAAAGAAAGGCAAATAAATTATGTATAGTTTTTGAGAATTGGGGGCAGCCGAGCTGTAGCCTGGAGCTTTTATCCTACTGAATATTATTCATAATATCCTGCTGACTAGTATTCATTTCTGGTTGCAGGGTAATGAGGGAATTAGAATATTGGTGCATGGTCTGATTCTGGGCAAAATAGTCTGAGCTGGGATTGTTGAGTAAATTCAAAGTATTGAGTTGAAATCTTTAAACAGCAGTAGAAAAAAAAAATAGAGCACTCTTTGGGGTCCTTTCGTCCCTCCCTACAAGGCACCAGGGTTGCCATTTCTTACCGGTTCGTTGTCACCTTGGTGACGCATAGGAACTTGACTTTCCATTTTCATGTTCCTTGGTGTCCGGGATGAAGACTCCATGCAAACTCACTTTGCACTTAATTGGCACTTTTGATTTTCGGGTTTACTGAGAGGCACTTGAGCTTTGGGGGACTTTTTCACAAACAGCAAAAGAGCAATAACTTGGGGGTGATGAAAAAAATAGGATTGATGTCTTAAACTATTTGTCTTGGGAAAAAGTGCCACTGTTTCTCACAGCAGATGACTATCCCCTCCTGTATCCATTTGAAGCTGTGCCACATTGACACCTAAATTTCATGTGGCCACTGGTCTGGGACAGCGGCCAGGCAGCGTGTGTAGCCCTCAGCCCTGCTAGTGCTCTGTGTGGCATCTTCTCATTCCCTTCCCCGAGTCTGGAGAGGGAGGTGAGTGGGCTTCTCCACCTCCCACTGCCCATTAGAGCTGTAAACCCATGCTAACCTTTCTCTTTTAAGAATAAATCCAGTGAATAATTGGCTCCGTTGACTTGACCTGTTTTCATGTTCTCACATAACCTCTCTGAAGAGCTCTCTTAAAACAGTCTTGGAAATTTCATCATGCTCCGAGTGGAGAGCCTGCAGCTGCCTCATTTGCTCACATTCACTTCATGTCTTCATGCAGCCCTTCCACCGGTGCTTGTGTTAGCTTATGCTGTTTCTTTTGGGCAGGCTCTTCTTTTTTTTAAATGATAACTTCATTCATTTTCTAAGAAACTGTCATGTACAAGTGACTTTAATTCTGAGTTGCATCATTGGGAACCATCACTTTCTGCTGCAGCTGCCATCCCAAACCTAAGGTCTGGGGCTTTGGGGTGCTTTGTACCTAATTCTTCATATTGCAGGGGTCGGGGAGAGAAATGCTCAGGTTCTTTCCTTAGCCTTTTTTTTTTTTTTTTTTTTTTTGAGACGGAGTTTCACTCATGTTACCCAGGCTGGAGTGCAATGGCGCGATCTTGGCTCACCACAACCTCCGCCTCCTGGGTTCAGGCAATTCTCCTGCCTCAGCCTCCTGAGTAGCTGGGATTACAGGCACGCACCACCATGCCCAGCTAATTTTTTGTATTTTTAGTAGAGACGGGGTTTCACCATGTTGACCAGGATGGTCTCGATCTCTTGACCTTGTGATCCACCCGCCTCGGCCTCCCAAAGTGCTGGGATTACAGGCTTGAGCCACTGCGCCCGGCCAGCCTTTTTTTTTTTTAAATATGAGACAGCATCTCCTTCTGTTCCCCAAGCTGGAGTGCAGTGGTGTGATCTTGGCTCACTGCAACCTCCGCCTCCCAGGTTCAAGCGATTCTTCAGCCGCCTATGTAGCTGGGATTGTAGGTGTGTACCACCTGACTAAAATTTTATTTATATTCTTAGTAGAGTGGGGTTTCACCATGTTGGCCAGGCTGGTCTTGAACTCCTGACCTCAGGTGATCTGCCCACCTCAGCCCCTCAAAGTCCTGGGATTATAGGCATGATCTACCACACCTGGCCTCTTTCCTTAGCCTCTAAAGCCACAAGTGTTTTCAGGAGCCCTTCAGTTGGGAGTAGCTGCTGCTAGGTCCTCTGACTTCTTCAGTGTTCTCGTGTGGCTTTGCCCATGTCACACCTGCCACTGCCTCTTGACCCTCGGAGCCTCAGATCTCTGTGCCTGTTCCATTGCCTCTGGGCATGAATTTTTGGCGACTGCCATTATCTCCAAAAGTCCATCAGGAGAGGAGTCCCAGAAGGTTGTCTCTAAATGTTTCTTTTTAAAATACTGTTTCTCTCCAGTCATTTAAAATATTAATGATCCTTTGAAATTCCAGATATTTTCCCACTTGCCTCACCAGCTGACCCGGATCTTTTGACCCAGTGCTCTGTTGGGATCTCTGAAAGCGAAATGATCAATTCAGATGCTCCTCCCTGAAGAGCACAGCAGCAGCATCAGGAGAGGGGCCCCCCCAGATTGGAAGTGGTTTTTCTGACTCTTCTTTTGGTTTTGTTTGTTTTCTGACAGTTGTTATTGAGCTGAAAGTGTAGCATCACAAACTGGGGAAGGAGAGGAGGGAGGCAGGATGAGAACTGTGGAGTGCGGAGGCAGGTAGCCCGTGGGGTGCCTCCCGTGCCCGGCGGAGCTGGAAACTGCTTAGGTGCCAGAGCTTTTCCTGTGACCAAATTCTGGCTTTTGAAATAACCCAGTAACAGTTGTCTATGTTTTCATTCTGCCCGCTCCTCCCACAGCCTGGTTCCGCAGAGGGAAGGAAGGAGGAGTGCTTTGCAGCACGTGCCCCTGGCGGCATCATGGTACTTTCCTGGCTCTGCTGCCTCTGCCCGTCCGTCTTTTATTGTTTTTATTTATTTTTTAAAATTTCTAATTTTTGCAGAACTGAACCTTTTTCTGCTCTTCCTTTCTCCCATGTGTCTTTTCTTTGTGGTTGATAGTGTGTTGTCTTCTCCAGAGTATTTGTCATTAGAAACTTACAGCAAGCATATGCTTTTTAGCATGTCAGTATTTTTATTATGTTGCCCGCCTTGTCTTTGAAAACTGCTTGTGAACGCGGTATCAACTTTATGGTAAAAATCCTTTTTTTCCCCCTGTAGTCTCTCCATTTCAAGGACTAAAACAGTCTTGCGTTAAGTAAAAACCTATGACCAGAGGTGAAGGAAGACTCTAGGAACTGAAAACTGCGACAGAAATTAGCACAATTTGAAAACAAAACAAAATTGCAAAAGCCTTAGTTGCTTTCCACCTAAGAAGTTGGCTCAATGGAGAAAATGTCCGCTGGAGTTTCAATAATGAATTTGGAGTGTGGGTGCAAGCGAATGACTCAAAGAAGGGCCCAGCTCTGAAGCTTGACGACAGAAATGCTGTTGTAAATCTAGTCTCAGGCGTACAGACCCAAGCCCCCTGGTACCAGAGAGCCGGCCGGTCTGTGGTGCATGTGTGTCCTTGTGATGGCAATCATTGTAGTCGCTGGCCTTCAGAAGAACTGAGGATCTGATGGAGGTTTTTTTATGTATTTATTTTCTGTTCACCTTGTGACCCTGTGTCAAAATTTATTAAGTACAAAAGGCATTACGGAAATGGTACTTTCTGTAATTTGATACTATCTGGCTTAATTGTCTTCACTTGACTCTTTGTAATACTGTTGTAATGTTAACTCTGTTAAGTACCCAAGCTGCTTGTCTTCCACCAAAGAGTGCTTTATTAACAAGAATCTGTGAAAACCACATTTAAACACTGTTGCATGTTGTAATACCAGGTGGTACCTTGGTAACCTAAAACTTGCAAGAGAATATTAATGGTAAAGGAAGACTCAGGAGGAGAAGCTGACTTCAGAGTTGGAAGATGTTCCAGTCATTTCTTTCTCTGTCCTTAAGGGACAGAAGAACTGCGAGGTTGCCCATTGTTTGGTTGCCAGTCATACAAATTAAAATCATATTTCCTTCCATGCCTGGAAAAAACACACTGTTGGTTTTTCCCCTTGGAAACCGCAATTCCAAATAATGTTGGCTTAAAAGAAAAAAGTTACCACTTTTTTAGAGTCCTTCTCTGTAACATTGGGATTTTCTTCCTCCTGAGATCAGCCGAAGGCCATTGATGTGGCCTGCGATCTCAGTGGCAGCGATCTGCTTCTGGACCTCACTGTTGCCTTTGGTTAGGGAACACAACTAGTAACTCTGCAGAGTGCCTTGTCCCACAGCCGTACTGAAACACAGCAGAGTCTGTGCCATGAAGCAATTATAGAAACAGAGTTGATTTGCTGCTTTAAAAAAAAAATGGGGCCCCAAATAAAAGACTATTTAGTACCCACCTCAGTTCCTTCCATAAGAAGTGGGTGGTTTAATGATTGTTAACCCATTTTTGCCTGTGCTGGGAGCATGGAGGGCCAAGAGGTTGACAGGCAGCGGGAACCAAATGCCCTCCTAAGCCACAAGGCGTGTGCCAGATCAGCAGGCAATTGCCATTTTAAGAAGCTGCCCTTTTCACAAAACTGCAAGGAATAAAAGCAGTTGGAATAAACAGGTTAATGTCTTTAATGCAAAAAGTAATTGAAAGGCAGTGCCTCCATTTTGGTGTGCTTTATCGGGAAGAAAGTATGAAATTGACCGGTGTCAGGGGAGACGGAAGATGCCGTTGTCTCAGCCAAACGGGCGACTCTTTCCCCACCAGGCACTACGGGGTGGGGTCAGGCCAGCCTTTAAACACTGGGGACTGGATCACAGAGAAACAGTGGTGTTCTGTCCCTGGAAATGAATAGGCACAAAGACCCACTTGCCTGTGGGAAGACCACTCTTCAATAAGATTTGGGTGGCAGAAGGAACATTCCTTTTGCTGTTTTGAGCTGAGACAATATAAATATTCAAACCGTGCCATGCACAAAGCATTGAATTCTCAGGGCACCTCTTCTTCCCCTTACCCTTTTTAAGGCCATCCCCCCCATAAATAATAATCCAGGTAGTTGTAAAAATTGCGCTTCTTTCTGAACCCTTCTTAGTTTGGCTTTTCATCCCATCAGAACAAGTTAACATGCAGCCGCCACGGCTCTTGTGAGTACTGTCTTCCTCCCGGTGAACAAGCCTCCTGGTGTTTCGTCCAAGAAAAGGAAGGGCGTCAGCGGAACCACAGTCCTTTTTCATTTTATAAGCTGCCTCTTCATGTCGCCTGCTCAAGTTTCCAGCTACAATTGCTATCACTGTGGCTCTTTGTAAAAACCCTTCTATTTAACTGCCTCACTGAAATTAGTCATAGGAAGCTTGTGATTTGGTGAGGAAGCATTCCTTATAATAACCAAATGACTTGGGATGGTTTGCATAGCAACAGTGTTATACTTATGGGGACCACATCTCTGGAATCCAGGAAGTCTCTGGGTTTGAGGGATGGAAAGTTCTTCCTGCTATGAATGAGAATGGACTCTTCCCTTACCCTCAACTGAAACCACAAACACCCAGAATCTTCTGGGATTCTGACTTACAGTCCTTGTTATAGAAGACGTTGTTGCTGTGGAATATGAAACTGTGTGTGTCAGATGGAGAGATTCCCTTAAGAGCCTTAAATAGCCCTGAAAGTACACCAGGACAGTTTGCAAATGGAATTATAATTAGAAGTGAATATTTTTAAGTGCCCTTGAAGCTTTCTGGGGACTCAAAATTATCAAGAGTCAGGCACAGTCCGGAGGAAGAGCGTCTGCAAAACTGGGTTCCTAGAAGTACGGATGGATGTCGCTTTTTGTAGAACTTGGCAGGGAGCAGCACCTTGTGAGAGCAGGTGGCCTGACGTGGCCAATGCTTCCTGGCAGCACGAGGCTCTGCCAGCCTCCAGAATTCCCCTGTTCTGAGCTTGATGCCCTTGGCCTGTCCTTTACCCACTTCCTCCCCTCCCCCTAGCCCTCTCACAAGGGTGATTGCTACCTCTCTCTTTTCTTGGGCCGAGCAAATTTTAGAGGAGTTCCCAAGCTTTGTCACGAGGCCAGTGTGCGGATGGCCTGGGCTTGTGTGTGGCCCGAGGGCTCTTCTGGGGCCTTCCCTCTTCCCAGTCACCTTCGGAGCCACAGGAGCCGTGCACTCATTGGATGTCTGTTCTTAACATAGGTCAACTGCTTCTCTTTCTACATTTTAAAAAATCGTTGTATTTTAGAAAGCAGTGCTCATCAAAAGCAACTTTTAAAACCTATTTTATCATTCCTTTAATAGTTATCTCCCGCTGAAACTGCCCTGGGGAGGCTAGCTGCTGCTCTTCCATTCTCCACATCAGGGTATTCTCCACATCACTGAGTGGAGATGCGTCCAGATGTGTTTAAAGACTGGACAATTCACCTATACTGTGTAGGAAATTACCTCCTTAATTACCTGGTAGAATTGTTAGCAGACATGTTCATCCGATGGTAGTACCGCAGTTTTCTATTAATAATTTGCAGACTTTTATCTAACCTGCACTCATGTACAGATTATTAAAAGTTTTGAAATGTAACTGATCAGTATTGATCAGTCATTGTCTTGATTTTTTTTTTACAGTGTATATTTCTAATCATGTTTTTTAAAGCCAAGAGAACTGGTTGAATGAATGTTTATTTTCCTGAAGGTATTTTTAAGATAAAGCTTCCTAATGGCCTGTAAACTTTGCATATATAGGTAGTTTGATACATACTGTCACATTTGAAAATCTTGTGAGTTGTAACTGGTTTTATACAAAATATCAAACAATGGAAATTGTATAATTATAATCATGTAATTAAAAGTATTAACCAAACGGTCTTTTAGTTTATTGTGTTCCTTACGAAGCATTTTGAATTCTGGTAGCCAGTGAGTAAAGCAGAGCATCCCGGAATCTGTACTGGTCTGCTAGGATGGCCATGATGGAACACCCCAGACTGGGTGGCTGACACAAAAGTTCATTTCTTCACAGTTCTGGAGGCTGGAAGTCCACGACTGAGGTGTGGGTGGGCTTGGTTTCTCCCAAGGCTTCTCTCCTGGGTTGCAGGCTCTGCCTCTCCTCAGGGCCTGCGTGGCCCTGGTGTCTCTTCCCATCTACCCCCCTCTTGTGAGGACACTGGTCAGATTGGATTGGGATCCACCCCGATGGCCCTCATTTTACCTCGTTAAAGGCCCCGTGTCCACATAGAGCCACATTTCAAGGGGCCGGGGTTAGGGCTTAAGTGTTTGGAAGTCAGTCCAGCCCTCTTCTGTAGGGTAAGGTGGTGAGCAAGAGGGGGCCATTCCTCACACCCCAGCACCGGCTCACAGGACGCAAAAGTCTTGATTTTTCTGGAGACTTCTAAGGAGAACCCTCAGGCCCTTGGGGTCCTGCAGGGCATTTTGCCGGCCAGGGTGTGGCAGTGCTGGCCACGGTACCCTGCGCAGCTTGTGGTCCAACCCCAGACATGGGCCTTGTGCTCTCTACCTGACCTGCCTCTGATGGCCTCTAGTGCTGGGCTGGAGTCCAAGAGCCCAGTGTCCACACCCCACACACAGCTTGCTGCTGAGACTCAACACCCTGTGTTCTGTTGAGTTCTATCCAGTTTCCCCAAGGAGCTGTGCTTGGATTCGCACTGGGATACAAGTGTCCAAAGTAAAAACCAGAGACCTGCCTTCTCACCCCTCTCCTGACTCCCACCACACGTGACCTCCCAGAGTGTGTATGTGTAGACCCTGGCTCTGTGGGAGCTGTGGCCTCGCCCTGCCCCTCCATGGCTTCTGAGGCCAGTGCCTGGTAAGGTGCTCCCCTGACGCACTAGCGCTCAGGCAGCTGGCCCCGCCACGCAGCTCTGAAGTCCCTGAGTGCTGTGAAGGGGCCGGCCGGCTTGGAGGCAGTGCTTCAGATGAAACCACGCAGCATGTCTGTTCCACCTGGGGGCCATGTCTTCCAAGCCTGTGTGAGGGGCGGGGGGGCAGCAGGCTGTGGATACCCCTGGCCCTTAGAGGAGACTTGTTTCCTTCCCTGTCATCTGGAGCCACTCTGCCCAGGGCCTGACCACCATGTGCAGGATTTGCTGATCCCCTCTTCTTCCATTAAGTGATATTGAAAAGAATTCCTACCTTAGCAATTAGTATGAGAGTTAAAATAACACATTAAAACAGTATCGGGGTATATCTTTCAATTCACTATTTTGTCATATTTTAGAGGTCATTTTCTCTAGATGATTAGGGAACTGATAGATTAGGGACTAATAGCAGATTATGGCCCCTCAGTATCTGAAATTTTGGGGACCTGCAGCATAATTTTATGGATGGGAAATGGTGTAAACATTTAAAAAGAGGTCACAGGCCGGGCGCGGTGGCTCACGCCTGTAATCCCAGCACTTTGGGAGGCCAAGGCGGGGTGGATCATGAGGTCGAGATCAAGACCATCCTGGTCAACATGATGAAACCCCGTCTCTACTAAAAATACAAAAAAATTAGCTGGGCATGGTGGCGCGTGCCTGTAATCCCAGCTACTCAGGAGGCTGAGGCAGGAGAATTGCCTGAACCCAGGAGGCGGAGGTTGTGGTGAGCCGAGATCGCGCCATTGCACTCCAGCCTGGGTAACAAGAGTGAAACTCTGTCTCAAAAAAATAAAAAATAAAATAAAAATAAATAAATAAAAAGAGGTCATGTAAACTATTTGGCCTTGAAGTGGGGACCCACATGCTGAAGGTAAGTCTGGAGAGGCTGTTCAGAGGCAAGGCTGGGCCGTGGGAAAGGAGTTGCAAGGGCCCCTTCCCGTGGCCCTCAGTGGACTGAGACACAAGTTGCTGTGAAAGAGCAAGTCCCAGTGGGTGTACCCTGCCCCAGCTCCACCACTTCTGTGGCATGGGGGACCCTTCATCTGCCAGCTGAGCCTCACTTTGTTCAGTGGTAAAATTGGACTAGCTGTTTGGATTACAATTAACATTGTACTTCTGTTTAGATTACAGAAGCACATGGCTGAGCCTTAGCTAGGGGAGTGTGACATCCGCTCTGCTGTCTTTCCCTCCTCCGTGTGCCTAAGTGCAGCTGTGGGTGCGCTAGAAAGGAGGATCTTGGGGGGAATTCTCCAAGAACACGACCTTTAGCTCCTCTGTAGCACCCTAACTGGAGGTCACACTCTCCCTATCGTCGGCCATGGAGGTGGCTTCTGAGGTCTTACTGTCACAGCATCACATCAGTGTTCTGCAGAGACTCTCCCTGGGTGGTGCTGGCTATTTCCTTAGAATAAATTCCTACAAAAGGGATTTCTGGGTCAAAAATGTGAAAGATGTTGAAGCTTTTGCTGTGGGAAAAAAAAGGCGCTTGGTAGAATTGTTGAGAGCATGCATTCTGGGCCCAGGCTGTTTGAATGCAAACCTAAGCGCTGCCGTAGCTTAGATTTGGGCTGAGGGACCTAAGCTCCCTAAACCTGTTCCTTCTCTGAAATGGGGACGGTAGTATGCATCTTACAGGGTTGTGTAAGGATGAAATGAGTTAATATTTGTTCATCGCTGGGAACAAGTGTCTGGCACACGCTAAGAGCCGAGTGTATTGTGCCTAATAAAAAAAATAAAAATGCTGTCCAGGAGGGCTGTCACGATGCGCAATCGCCGCTGCCCGCCCCTCCCCCGTTAGCAGCTGTTGTGACACTGGTGAGCTGCTCAGTTAATAGCAGGACAGTGGCCCCAGCGCTGCGGGTCGTGGGTCACACTCACTGCCCTGCCGTTTATCGTCCTAGCCTTAGCTTTTCCGCATTGATTTTGGGCATTTCGTCTTCCAAGCGGTTGGCACAGCCTGCCCTTAAGTCCTAGCCTCACCGCGTCTGTCTGTTTATTGGGGGAGAAATTGACCCCGCCGAGCAAAGCCTTCCAGGTTCCTACCCAGCGCCTCGAGGGGGACCCCGGCCCCTGTGGGAGTGGGGGCCCTCCCGCCTCGGCCTCCCCGCCTCTAACCCTGCCTGTCTCTTTGGCAGCAAGTCTGCATAGCTTTGAAGCGCTTCCGGACGACGCGTACTTGGTCCACACCGAAATCCCCAGGTAAGGAGGCCCCGGACCTGCCGCCGAGGCTCCGCGGGGCCAAGTCTGTTTCTAAAGGGGGGAGGGCGGCCGTGTCCTTTGTGCGTTGTGGGACTCGGGGAGGACAGTGGTTTCTCCTGGCCCTGGGTGTGTTTCTGTGTTAAACAAGACGCCTTTTCAGGCGGGCCGTTCTCCCTGGCGTGGGAACCCCGGGGGATGCAGTGCGTCTGGCGTCCCGCACCCGCCTACTCGGTGCCAGCGGACAGCCCAGGCCCTCATGCTGTTGCCCGCCCCGGGCCGGTGCCACCCCCAGCTGGGAACGGCTCACCCGCTTCGTCTCGGGCCGGGCACAGGACAGAGAAGCCGCCACGGTGCTCTCCTCTCGGGCCGGACAGAGGAAGGCGCTTCCCGGAGGGACGGCGCAGGATGGGCTCCCCGGGAGCTGGTCTGCTGCGCCTCCTCCTGCGGGGACTTCAGGGTGGCCTGGGCGGTGGGGACAGCGGGGTCCTCTCTGCCTGCGCCTCGAGTGCAGGTTCAGCCGGGACCCAGCTGGAGGGAGGCACACGGAGCGCCCTGGCAGGCCCGCGGTTGGCCTGTCCTCAGGTAGCGGCGGAGTGTCCACTCAGCACTCACTGGCGAGGCTGGAGGATGACAGCTGATGGCCCTCCTGGTCCCCAACCTAAGTTTGCCTTGCGGTTGAGAGCTTGGCCCAGGAAACTAGTCCTTGCCGTCCACACAAAGTCACACCCGAGGCAGGCCCATGGTAAGTGCAGCCCTGTCCATCTCCTCCCTTTTCCAGCGATGGTTGGCTCTCCCGGGTTGTCACCTTCCTAGACCGGCTTCTGCTCTGGCTCGGGATCCACAGGGACTAGGCCTCCGGGGAAGGTCTCTCCTGGACACACCTGCTGCCCACCGCAAGTTCTCTCCAGGTGCAATTGAAGCCTCTCAGCAGGTGTTTCTGCCTCGTTCTTCTGCTGGGTGTTAAGTCATCAACCCAGGGCCTTCCCTGGTGCCCCGGGGGTGACTGGGTTGGAAGGGCCGGGCTGACACCGCGGTGGTAGCAGGCGCATCCCCGCGCAGCAGGGCAGCGCTGCTTGCTCATTCTTAGGCCAGGAGCTCCTGTGAGGTGATCTGATGGAAGCTGAGGCCCCTCCGTTGTCCCAGAAAAGTTCACGTGGAATTTTTGAAGGCTGCGTTGACAGGTTCACTTACAGGCTTGCTGGCTGCCACCACACACTCCAGGGGTGCTGTTCCACAGACGCCGTGTGGAGGGCGCCCCAGAGGTGTGCAGTCAAGGCAGGGCCTATTCACCAATCACCCTGCCTGGGCCTGCCGCGGAGCCTCAGTAAAAATTCCCAGGCAGCATCTTTCTGCCTTGGTCACAACCACCCACTTCCCCAAGCCCGTCCCTCACAGGCCACCTGGCGTTCCCATTGCTCCTGCTTCCTTCCTATCCACCTTCCCTCTTCCTGAAAACTTCCCCAGCATCACCGCTGACTCCACCTCCATCCCCTCACCAGCAAAACACGCGAGTTGGGGGTCAGTTCGCTTAGAACTTGCCTAGGATGCTTGAAATGCTTTTCTCACTGTTGCTCTGACACAAGACCATGTGGGCCGCTGGGACAGTTGTGTGAGTTGTTCATGCACAACCCCAGGGAACGCTAGGCACAATGAGGTCGATGTGAGTCAAGTCCCAGGAGGGGGGCAGCGCACAACATGGGTGCCTAGATAGGGCAGCCCTCCTGGAGGCGCCCTCGGTGCCTTTGCAGGGTGGTGGTTCTTGAGGAGAAATGTCTTACCCCACCTCAGTGTCTGAGAGCATTTGAAACTCTCAGAAGTCCCCTGTGGGGTTTACATACAAGCTGATGTCACATGACAGGCACTCCCTAAGTGACAGAATTAATTCAGCCCTCTGGGAGTAGGCACAATTTTGAAAAGAAACAGTGCTCAGAGATGCCATGTGTTGGTTCTCTGCTTCTTCCCACAGAAACCTGATTGGCCCAAGGCGTAGCTATAAGGGGTGTAAAAGACTTTGCTATTGGGTAGGGGAAATTCCCGTGATCTGGAGTCCGAGGAAACTTTGTGGCTCAGACAGAGGCTTTCCAGGAGCAACAGGAGATGTGCGGAAAGGCTGGGCTGGGCTGGGCAGCCGCTGGGCCCTTAGGCCTGGGGAGCCAAGTTTTAGTCCCATCCCGATTGCATGAAGACCCGAGGGTGTGCCATCTGCACTACAGCCACGTGCAGTACCCTGCTAGGCGCCATGGCCATCTCCACGTGGCTCGGAGTGGCTGAGCACAGAGGCGCACGGGACACACTCCGTAGCTCATGACCTGCTGAGGGACAGGCGTCCCTTTTCCTGTCCCTTCTCCTAACAGCTTTGCCCAAGGGACTAATCCTTTCACTGGAAATTTCAGGAGTGTGTAGACAGAACATGGGGCTCAGGGATTGAATCTGGTTTCAGCTTCTACCTGCCCTAATACTAGCCAGGAAGCAAGGAAAACGGCATCCTTGCCTGACTGTAAAATGACGAGGCATGACAAAGCAGGACTCCCAGGCCCTCAAGCAAACGCTGGGCTCCTTCAGTAACCAAGCTCTGCCGCAGGTGCAGAGGCAAAGCGGGTGGGGGGAGGGGCATCCTGCAGACTTAAAAGATGGCCAAAGAAAAGGCAGCACAGGTGTGAGGGGGACACCTGTGGACGGTGAGTCCTGTGAGCAGGGATGAGGCGGGGATCAGCACAGCCCTCGTGGCCAGGCTTTGGAGGAAAACATGGTTCCGAGGGAGTTTTGCACTTTTTATTAAGAGATGAGGTTTTAGGCCGGGCGCGGTGGCTCACGCTTGTAATCCCAGCACTTTGGGAGGCCGAGGCAGGTGGATCACGAGGTCAAGAGATCGAGACCATCCTGGTCAACATGGTGAAACCCCGTCTCTACTAAAAATACAAAAACATTAGCTGGGCATGGTGGTGTGTGCCTGTAATCCCAGCTACTCAGGAGGCTGAGGCAGGAGAATTGCCTGAACCCAGGAGGCGGAGGTTGCAGTGAGCCGAGATTGCGCCATTGCACTCCAGCCTGGGTAACAAGAGCGAAACACCATCTCCAAAAAAAAAAAAAAAGAGAGATGAGGTTTTGCTCTGTCACCCAGGCTGGAGTGCGGTGACGTGATCACAGCTCACTGTAACCTCGAACTCTTGGGCTCAAGCCAAGAGGCTTGCTGCGGCCTCCCGAGTAGCTGTGACTACATGGGTGTGCCACCCACCTAATTTTAAAATTTTCTGTAGAGACACATTCTTACTGTTGCCCAGGCTGGTCTTCAACTCCTGGCCTCAAGCGATCCTCATACCTCAGCCTCCCAACGCATTACAGGTGTGAGCCACCATGCCTGCTCTTGCACGTTTATCTGTATCCTATTGGATAATAAAAAGGTTTTAAAATATTCCTGCATTTTTCCTTCCTCATTCCCTTTTCCACACCTCCTGTCCTCCACAACACAGGCCCCTGTGGGGCAGAACAGCCCAAGGCCTCGCGTGCCCACAGCCCACCCCAGGTTGTCTGAAGCAGGAAGGTTCAGGGAAGGCTGCTTACATGGGCCAGGATCCTTGCAGACGTCTCAGGAGACAGCAGCAGCCAAAGAAAATGGGCACATCTTTTTTCTGTGTCTACAGTGGAGGCCGTGTATATGGAAAGGGCGGGCGGACCTACTGCTGTTGAGAACAGGGCAGGCGCCAGCCACGCGGTTCTGCCTTTCCCAGCTCCGGAGACCCAGCCCAGCTGCTCCGGAGCACCTGCCAGCACCGCACAGTACGGTTTCAGAGGACAGCGACGTCCTTCCAGTGAAGCTCCATGCACTGGAATGGCACGGACTTGCTGATCAACAGAAGGAAATGGTCTGAAGTCTGACCAACACAGGGAAGGAGGGTAGCTGGCTCAGAGGGGCCTGCCTTGTGTGGAAGGCTCCTGAGAAACTTTAGGTTAGAGGGGTCGTGTACAAAGCATCTGACTCAGACTTCGGAGGCATTCCCAGCGAACAGCAGTGTCCTGGCTGTCTCTTCCCAGACTTGTCTGACAGGCAACTTAGGTATTCATCCCAGGTGAGGTACCGGCTCCCTCCATCTTGGGCAGCACCTCCCTTTTTCACTTCTGAGACAGAGTCTTGCTCTGTGGCCCAGGCTGGAGTGCAGTGTCGCAATCTTGGCTCACTGCAACTTCCACCTCCCAGGTTCAGGTGATTCTCCTGCCTCAGCCTCCCAGGTAACTGGGATTACACCCGCCAGCACGCCCAGCTAATTTTTGTATTTTTAGTAGAGACAGAGTTTCACCATGTTGGCCAGGCTGGTCTTGAACTTTTGACCTCAGGTGATCTGCCTGCCTAGGCCTCCCAAAGTGTTGGGGCCACCGCGTGAAGCCAAACACCCCCATCTCTAGAGGATCCAGCCCCCCAGCCCAGTTCCTGCAGGGTGCTTTCCCCCACCTGGTGCCAGGCTGTGTGCAGCCGCCCCAGGACCTCACCCGGAGCTGGCTCTTCAGGAGCTGCCCTGGGGGCACCACTCAGACACCTGAGGCCCAGCAGTCTGGCCTGGGCATGGCTAACCAATTCAAACTTGCTTGACCCCCACTTTTCAGGAGGCTTGGGGACAACAGACCCTCGTGGGCATCTTTCATGGGGTTAATCTGCTTGAGTCTAAGTCGCCAGCCAGAAACGTGGTGCCCAGGGTGCACTGCCCCAGGACTTCTCTTTCCCACACCACAAGCACCACAGAGGAGTCTGGCCGGGGCACTGTGGTCCGAAAGGTCCTGCTGCCTCAACATCTGGCTGTCCCTATGGTGTGCTGGTGACGCCCCCTGCCCTTCACTTCTGTCCTCCCTGGCTTCTCTGGGGCACTCGGGGCTACATACACCTTGGCACAATCAAAACCCCTACATCCAGGTGCATGACCAAGTCAGTGAGAGCAAATTCAGCCCATTCCAGGTTCATATCATGCACCGGGTCCCCCAAAACTGTGTTCAATCACAGGACTCAACAGCTCTATGGGATAGGAACTGTCACTGTTTTGCAACAGTAATATTAAACCAAGTGCTATGGGCTTTTCAAGTATTGCTCACAATACTACAGGAAGGTTCCTTAAAAGGGCTCTCTGGTTTATCTTCAAAGCCGGGTGAGGCAAAATGACGGCATGACAGCTTCACGCCCACTGAGTCATGACGCAGCCCTTATGTTGTAGCAGCTACGTGAAGATTTGTGAAGTCAGGGCACTTGCATCCACTGCCTTTTCCAGGAAAGGGAATAAAACACTCAGTTGATAAACCTTAGTACTCAGGTAGTAATTTAATAAGAGACCAAAACCAGGCTGTCACCCAAAGCAAACACCCTTAACTGACCCTAACATGTACGGATTCAGCTGTGATTATTCAACAAAATCATGACCGACTGCTATGGCCTGGGAGTGCCGGAAGGACCGTTTTCTCTACACCAAGTCAGGGGCGAATACCAGCCTTTATTTGCACTTGGGTTCCAGTTCAAAGCCACCTTAGACAGTGTGGCAAAGTGAAAAAAAGCACAGATCCTGGGGCCGAGGTTCAGATTCCATCGCAGGCGAGCATATGAACTGTGTGACAACAGGCAGACAGTACCTGTGGTATCTACGGGAAAGCAGGGAGAGCATCACCCCAGCTTCCAGCAGCTCTTCAGCTGCCTGGACCGCAGGCCCTCCTGGGCCCACTTCCTCTGCAGCACAGTGTGCTCTGTGGGTTGGCGTCAGTGGCTTTGGGTGCAGCTGTGTTCAAGGTGGGACTCCAGGTGAGTTACTGAACCTCTGAGGTATACCCTGAACCCCAAACTTTCACCAAAAGCAATAAAGAGGAACTCTAGAACTGGGGCCAGAAATAAGAGAGAAAAACTGCTTATAAGTGCTTAATAAATACCAGTTATTTACAACTCTTGCCCAGGCCGACGGCAGAGGCCTGTGTCCACAGCTGCCGAACGCTGACGCTCGCTCTGCAGAAGAAATGATGCGGTATTTGCTTTTTTGCATGATCCCTTAAATAACATGGTTTTTAAAGTCATATACTTACTATTCTTCCTAAAAACCACCCAAACGCTAGATATGTGTGTGTGCACACACAGAAACCACGAGGTAGTTTAAATCACCATTAAATATCAACACTTTCTCTGATTCTGTGTCACAGAGGGTGGCTACACAATAGCGATTTAAAATGATTGGTTAAGTGAAAACCAGAACTCAAAATATTCCAGGAGAGTAGATAACATTTACAAGTACACAGTAAGTGCAACTGTATTTTAATTTCTTGGTCTCTGAAAACTAAGCTGTGACTGCTTTACATGAACAGTTCAAGGTCTATGCATTTCCTCTAATGCTAAAGGCACAGCCTCCGGGAATCTACAGCTTCCTACGAGCCCTCAGTGGAGTCTATTTTACAACCCCCTTTCCCTCCAAGCTTCTGTGGAGGAGATTCCATACAATCTCTATGTACACATTTTAAACATTATTCCTGAACGTCATTTCAAATTCCTTCGATAAAAACACAATCACCATTCTTTGCCTTCTTGGGAAAGGGCCAGGCTAACCGTCACAGAAAGGGCCTGCTCTCGAGCCTCTGGAGAAGCCCCTCTGTCTAACAGCGCAGCCTGAAAAAGTGCAACGAATTCACACGATATGGGAAAAGCAACATCTATTGTTCCTAGAGTCTGACTGTCTTCCCACAGCCGCAAGAGTCTCTCCATGGGTGTGCGGTGCAGCTCCTTGGTGCCGGGAAGTAGCGCTCTTTCAAGAAAGTGCGGGGAAGTCTTCAGGGTCATCTGGGTTGGGGGCAACATCTTGCATCTAAAGAAGAAAAGAAATACTTTGAAATCCACTGCCCCTTCACCCATTCCTAATATCCCAATGGGAAAACGGGAGGCCTGGCACTGAGGGGCCTACGTCAGAGGCAGGATGCACAGTGGGAAGGGGAGATCACAGGTCACTGCAAACCCAGCAAAGTACAGCTCCCCTCCCACACAGGCCTCCGGCCTCCTCACAAAATGGGCTGCCTCCCTTCCTATGCCCTGCAAACTCTTACTGGGGGGCTCTGCATGGGGCACATCCTTCACCAAGTAAACAGAATGGTTACTGCATGTCGGGTGCTGGAGGGAGGAGGAGGTGCACAGACAGTGCCTATCCTCGGGAGCTCTTGGTGCCAGAGAAACTGACCATCGAGTCACGGGAAGGAGGGGCCACAGGAGGGCGGTCCAGTGTTATTTGGTGGCAAAGGTCAGGGTCAGGGTCAGGAAAGCTTTTGTGGGAAGAGAAAGTTCTCCCTGGGATGAATCTCAACAGACGAGGATGAGCAAAGGGCACACGGACCTGGTTTGGGAAACAATGTGACCTGATGGGGGCAGGTGCAGGCCGCAGGGTGGTTCTGAGCAGAAGCTGCAGAGGCTGTGGGGTGGGGGAGGCGTGGAGGCGGCGGTGCGGGATTCCCGGAATGGTTTCCCAACACGCCCGCCCGGGGTGCTGCAGGGGCCAGAGCTCCACTATAGGAAAGGAGTCGGCGTGTGTGTGTTTCCTATTCTCAGAATAGACCCTATTTCCAACCCGGCCCCAAATATACCCCCTCCCCCAAAAATTGTGGTTTTGCTCTTGCTTAAGCAAAAACAAACCAGATACTGCTTCCAGGGGCTGCTTCCCAGAGCGAAGGAAGCAGGCAGCAAGCGAAGCAATGCCCAGACCAGCCAAAGAGACGGGGTCTGTGCCTGCTCCATCATCACGAGGACCGCATGGTGGCCCATGCTGGCCACAGGGCCTCAGGGCTGACTTCCAATGAGCAGGTGTCCGTGCCACATTAGAAAGCGCCTACTACATGCTAGGCACAGCGTGGCACTGCGTAAACCGATCGTGAGCAAAAGCAGCCTGAGAACCACACCAGGGGGACTCCAGTGGCACACAGAGATCAGGCTTCAATGAAAAGAAAGTCTTCTGCTCAGAGACCTTAACCGGTCTAGGAGATGTGATCAAAGAAACCTGTGAGGAAGTGAGGTTGGAAGAATGAACTTAGGCCAGCAGGCAGAGGCCAGGGGTAAGGAGCGTGCTGTGTTCAGAGCTAGAAGCAGGCAGCCGTGGCTGAGGACAGTGTGAGGCAGGTGAGCCGGGTGAGGGAGGTCCCCTCACAAAGGGTCTGAGGTCTTAGTAAGGACTTTGTCCACTCTGCCAGCATCACCTAAGCCCAGGACATACAATCAGGCCACAGGAAGCTAAACGTCAGGTGCTCCAGTTCAATCCCGAGCTGGGGAGCTCGTCTAATGCAGATGAGAGAGCTGTCTCCTCCAAATGCCCCAACATCAGTCCCACACTGGCTACAGGAAGACGCAACTGCAGAAACTGAGGACCCAGTGCAATGAGAACATCCTGGGCCCGGGGCACCGTCCTTATTTACTTCCTTCAGCAAACCACCTGGGGATTTACAATACAGATACCTACCACCACTTCTGCTCTGGGTCTATAGTTCTCCGCCCTCCTGATCCTTCCCCGGCCTCCCCGGCTGCCTCCTCTGGCTCCACGCCCAGGACGAGGGAGGTTACCAAAATTAATCTCCAGCTGGGATGTGATGTCATTGGCAGCTTTCCGGAAAACATGGGAATCGTCCTCATATTCATCTTTTACCATCTGAAACACAGTTACAGCATCAAACCCCAGTCCACAGCCATCCCCACACTCAGCTGCCTTAGTGGCTGCGATGTGCTGCCCAAGAGCTGAAAACACCAGCAGGGGCTGGACAGAGCCCTAGGCTGCAGAGCTGGACAAAGGAAGACAGCGCTGCTGTTTCTGTTCGTGTTGCAGCCCCCCATTCTTAAAATTCCAAACATCTGTGAACTCACTACGATTCAAAGGTGGGTGGGACCAAATTTCCATCAGCTGAGCAGGTTAAGATGTAAGATTTGGCATGAGTAATCATAGCAAACGATATACATGTTTTATATCTAAGTGTATTTTGCTGAGATAAAGCTTTCATTTCTGCTTATTTTCTGTCTTATCTGCTCACAAATGCTTTGATAAATAAGGAAACATCCCCTTTCATGGGTGCGGACTATAAATACCATGTGCTAAAAATCACATGACTTATAGGCCGGGCGCGGTGGCTCAAGCCTGTGGTCCCAGCATTTTGGGAGGCCGAGGCGGGTGGATCACGAGGTCAAGAGATCGAGACCATCCTGGTCAACATGGTGAAACCCCGTCTCTACTAAAAATACAAAAAATTAGCTGGGCGTGGTGGTGTGTGCCTGTAATTCCAGCTACTCAGGAGGCTGAGGCAGGAGAATTGCCTGAACCCAGGAGGCGGAGGTTGCAGTGAGCCGAGATCGCGTCATTGCACTCCAGCCTGGGTAACATGAGTGAAACTCCGTCTCAAAAATAAAAAAAAAAAAAAATCACATGACTTATAATAAACAATTCTGACTCAGTACAGAGAAATTTTATAAAATAACAGAGTACGGTTACCTGAGTGCTCTACCAACGCTGCACAAAGAAGTTACACTGCTTTTTTTTTTTTTACTTAAAACCCTATAAATTAATTAAATCGGATCCAAATTTGATTTGGCTTCAACTCATAATAATGGAGAAAACAAAACAAAACAAGTAAACTAAAATCCTACAGAAAGGAAATCTGTCAATGACCTCAGGTGAGAATCTCCGAAGTGCTGGAACAGTAAACATTCCTACAACCAGGAATTGGGACAAAATTGCCATGAGCACATCGATGCCTTTAGGCCACAGGCTCACGACGGGCTTTGTGTTTAACATTTGTGTCCCCTTTAAGGTCTCAGGTTGAAGCCTCTTCCTGGGGCCCTGCCTCTGCAGGAAGGGCCGTGGGGCGGTGGAACAGGGAGTGAACTCAGTCTAAGGGCTCCACTTGCAGCTCCAGCTGGCCCCCGCCAAAGTGCTTCAACTGCCCAGTGCCTCACACGGGGTTGTCACTAGGTCTGAACTTTGCTAGGTGTTCTAGTGCTTCTGTCTTTTCAGGTGCCTGGAACAACGCAAACTGATGAACTGAAGATCTGGCTTATGTTGCTTTAAGAACAATTCCTAGCTTAAGTCCTCGATCCTCCAAGATTAACAAGGACCAAGATGTGTGCTTTACTGAGACCAAGCTCGATGACTCAGCTAACCCACTTGTTTCAAATATTCTGGGAGACCTCTGGAGCCAGGGAGGATGAATCTGGCGTGGATTAAAGAAGAGCAGCTTCTATTTTTACCTAACATGTCAGCTGCACATTTCAATCCTGACAGCACATTTGTTTTAGACAGAGTTTTATTTACAATGCCTAGAACAAAGAAGAACAAAGGAAGTGGACAAGTAAAGAACCCACCCAGCTAGCTAATGGACTCAGAACACACCTGCCTGAGACTGCAGGGAAATAAGGCTTTGGCCGTCTGCGTCTACAAAAAGCCATTTCTTGTGAACAGCTCAAAGCTTAGTAGTAAGGCCCCCTACAGCTTGGGCTGACCAAAACAAGAGGGTGGGAGGGAATCTTGTATCTTAAATACCCTCTAATCAAAGCATTCACTCAGAAAACAAAACTAACCCAAGTGTAAATCACTCTACAATAGTATAACATTCCTGAGATTCCAAATGAAAATCAATGACTAATACCCCGCAGAGAGGAAGAGCCTGCTCATTCCTGCCCCGACACAGTGACTGGTATCAAGCTGTGATGGAATGACATAGATTCTAAATCCCATGATGAGAATGCTTCAGTGGACCTATCCTTAAGTTCAGTAACTTACATAGGTGACTCGATGACCAGTGGCATCCCTATCAACACACACTGCTAGATGTTTCCCCTGAAACCTCTCCCTGCAAAACGGAAGCATGTGAGAAGAGCTAGATGTGAGTCTTGAGAAATAAGGCCCTCACAACACCGAGGAGCTCCCTGAGCAAACCTTGCAGCATGCTGGCCGCTGTGGCAGCGCCTGACTGAGCTGCCAGGCAATTTTGGGGCTCATCTTCTGCCACATCTGCAGTTAGGCAGGGGGCGCAAAGCTGCTGAACCAACATGGGAGGGGTGTCAGAAGAGCACGGCACTTCAACCACAGTTTAAAAAGTCATCAGCTACTCAGTGAAATGCTCTTATCAAGAATCAGAGCTGAAGGTAACCTAATCAGGGAATACAGAGTGTAGTTATCCTCTGAATAACTTTGAATTGTATAAGAAACAATCTGTAACTCTCACTTGAGAAAAACGAAATGCAGTTAACACACAGTGTGTGTACAGTCCCAGCACAGTCCCAGGGTGAGCAGGAGATGCCCTGTTACTCAAACTGCTTTGCGTTTCTGTCAGTAACACAAAGTTTCAATTCCTTTCCTTAATGAGCAATAAAGATACAGTAAAATCGGGCATATATCATCTCTGATTAGAAACAAGAGCACCAACCACTAACATCCATTTTCATGATAGAAGTGGAAAGGTCCATTTCACTTCCAATAAGGTAAAAGTAAAGATTACCTCTACATACAAAATATAATGCTTACATCATCTCTATATTTTGACTTGTGAATCACCACTGCTTTGGAAGGAACAGTGGATTCTGGTTTCCGGATGTTAAACTCAGGCTTTGGTCTGGTCTGTTCTTGAAGATTTTTCCACTCATCTAAAGTCATCTCTTGAACTTGAGTTTCTTCTTCTACCTCCAACTCAGGAACTCTATAAAGAGATGTATAATCATAAAGAATAATTTTTGATGGTACTGAAATGTCTACTTTATTAAAGTTATAACCATTAATTAAACATACTTTTGTGGTACTGCATGTCAAATGTAAATAAGGTAACACAATCTTTGACTCATAAGCTTCCATATTTTATTTTCAACATTTTTTTTTTTTTTTTTTTTTTTGAGACGGAGTTTCACTCTTGTTACCCAGGCTGGAGTGCAATGGCACGATCTCGGCTCACCGCAACCTCCGCCTCCTGGGTTCAGGCAATTCTCCTGCCTCAACCTCCTCAGTAGCTGGGATTACAGGCATGCGCCACCATGCCCAGCTAATGTTTTGTATTTTTAGTAGAGACGGGGTTTCACCATGTTGACCAGGATGGTCTCGATCTCTTGACCTCGTGATCCACCCACCTCGGCCTCCCAAAGTGCTGGGATTACAGGCTTGAGCCACCGCGCCCGGCCCTATTTTCAACATTTTATGTCATCACTGCCAACAGAAGATACTTCCTGTGTTCAGAGCAATCTTTGAAAAATGGGAACATCATCATCCTGATGACATTAACATTACACTTCACCACTGGCACTCCCTTCCAGAGAGCATGACAGAAAAAATGAGGTAATTATGGAAAATGGGAGAAGGTACCGAAATAAAATACCGGAAACCATAAAACAGAAGTTTTAAAGCAGTAGCTCATAAATGCATACTTTTGCAGCTATTCTCTTTAAATTAATGAGTTTTAAAAAGAAAACAAAAGACAGACATATAGATCGATAGAATAGAATTCAGAGTCCAGAAATAAACCCTCACATTTATGGTCAATTGATTTTTTTTTTTTCCCCCAATCATGGTGCCAAAGACAATTCAATGGAGAATGGAAAGTACTTTCAACAAATGGTGCTGGGACAACTGGATATCCATTCAAAAGAAAAAAATGAAGTTGGACCCCTACCTCACACCATAAATATAAGAGCTAAAATAGAAAACCCTTAGCAGAAAACCTAGGCAGAAATCTTCGTAACCCTAAATTGGGCAATGGTTTCTTCCACATGATACCAAAAGCACAAGCAACAAAAGTACATACATTGAACGTCGTCAGACACTTTTATACTACAAAGGACAACATCAAGAAAGTAAAAAAGACAGTCTACAAAATGGGAAAAAAAATTTACAAATAAATATCTCATAGGGGACTTGTATCTAGAATACATAAAAGAATTATTTATAAAGAGCCAAGAATGGTGGCTCATGCTGATCGTCCAAGCTACTCAAAAGGCTGAGGTAGGAAGATCACTTGAGGCCAGGAGTTTGAGGCTGCAGTGAGCTATGATCACACATGTGAATGGCCACTGTGTTCCAGCCTGGGCATCACAGTGAAGCACTGTTTCTTTTCTTTCTTTCTTTCTTTTTTTTTTTAAAGAATGCTTTATGAATTCTAGATACAAGTACTCTTTAGTTGAGACAAATGACCACCCTACTCACAAAAAAGGCAAGGACATGAATAAACATTTTTCTAGAGAAGATATTAAAGCCAGTAAGAAGCTGCACATCATTAGCTGTTAGAGAAAGACAAATCAAAACCACAGAGCTGTACCAGTCCACACCCAGCGGGATGGTTAGAATAAAACCACATTTGACAAGCGTTAGGGAGGATGTGGAGAAACTGGAACCCACAAATGCTGCCGGTGGGTATGTGAAATGATGTAGCCACTTTGGAAAGCAGTCTGGAAGTTCCTCAAAATTTTAAGCTGAGTTAGCCTCTGACCCAGAAATTTCACTCCTGGGTTTATACCTAAGAGAAATGAAAACATACAACCACGTGAAAACTTAGACCCAAGTGTTCACTGCAGCACTATTCATAATAGCCAAAAAGTGGACATAACCTAAATGTCTATTAACTAATGGATAAACTAAATATGGCATGTTTTTTGGAATATTATCTGGCAATAAAAAGAAACAAAGTACTAATACATATTACAACATGAACAAAACTTGAAAAAATGATGCAAATGAAATAAACCAGGCAGGAAAGACTTCTGTATATGATTCCATTTACATGAAATATTCAGAAGAGCCAAATTCACACTGACAGGAAGCAGATTAGTGGTGGCCAGGAGCTGCAGGGAGGGAGGATAGGGAGTGACTACTTAAGGGGCATGAGGTTTCCTTTTGGGATGATGAAAATGTTCTGGAGCCAGATCATGGTGATGGTTGCATAACACTGCGAATGTACTAAATGCCACTGAATTGTACACTTTAAAATGATTAAAACTGTAGATTTGTAAATCACCACAAAAACAGGCAAAAAATAAAAGAAATGAAGACTGACACATGCTACAACATGGTTGAACCTGAAAACAGTATGCTGGTTAAAATAAGCCAGGCACAAAGGGAACACGGAATGATTCCACTTAGATGCGATACCTAGAACAGCAAATTCCTAAACATGAGTGAAACTGAGATTACTACGTGCCAAGGGGAAACGGGGAGTTAATGTTCAATGGAGATAGAGTTTCTGTTTGTGATGAAGAAGTTCTGGAGATGGATGGTGGTGATGGTTACACACAATGTGAATGTTATTGATACCAATAAATTGTATATTTTCCACTAAACTGTATATTTTAAAATGGTAATTTTTATGTTATCTATTTTTACTGCAATTTTTAAAAATTAATAATGTAATATACCCCAAACCACCCATCCATGCATTCATTCATTATCTGTTTGAGACAGAGTTTCACTCTGCTGGCCACACTGGAGTACAGTGGCATGACCATGGCTCACCATAGCTTCAACCTCCTGGGCCAAAGGATCCTCCCACCTCAGCTTCCTGAGAGTAGCTGGGACTACAGGCATGAGCCATCATGCCCAGCTAATTTTTAAAACAATTTTGTAGAGACAGGGTCTCACCATGTAGCCCAGGCTGGTCTTGAACTCCTGGCCTCAAGTGATACTCCCGCCTCTGCCTCCCAAAGTGTTGGGATTACTCCTGCCAGGCCACCGCACCTGGCCTCTACACGTAAAGATTTCAGTGCTGTAGTATGAGAATTGTATCTTGAAGTTGTTTAAAGGAAAAAAAAACAGTAGGTGGGGAGTGAGGAGAGAATCAAATCTGTATCTTCACTGAAGAGCTGATGTAATTTAAGGTTGTATTATAGAAATAGACAGATTAATGCTGTGAAAAATATAAGCAAAATCAGTAGAGAAACTTAACCATAGAGAACCCAAAATAGACAAATTTGCAGTGACTTTATAATACCAAACTGATGGTAGAAAAAACATCAAAGCAATGGTAACATGAAGGAATATGAGGGAACTTTCTGGCGTGAATAGTAATGTTCTGTATACTGACAGGAGTTTGGATCCCATAAGTATATGCATTTGTCAAAACAGTGAATGTACACTTAAGATTTATACATTTCAGGCCAGGCGCGGTGGCTCAAGCCTGTAATCCCAGCACTTTGGGAGGCCGAGGCGGGTGGATCACGAGGTCAAGAGATCGAGACCATCCTGGTCAACATGGTGAAACCCCATCTCTACTAAAAATACAAAAAATCAGCTGGGCATGGTGGTGCGTGCCTGTAATCCCAGCTACTCAGGAGGCTGAGGCAGGAGAATTGCCTGAACCCAGGAGGCGGAGGTTGCGGTGAGCCGAGATCGCGCCATTGCACTCCAGCCTGGGTAACGAGAGCGAAACACCGTCTCAAAAAAAAGATTTATACATTTCACAGTACATAAATTTTATATCAGAAGAAAAAACTGTAAACAAATATTAAGTTCCATTTAGTGATATATATGTTGAACTATTTAGGAAGAAGTGTATAGATGTCTATAATTTATTATGAAATGTGTCAAAAAACATGGTGGATTAATGATGGATACTTATGTAAAATGAATATATAAGATGTAAATGGTAGCATTTAGGTGGTGATAAGTATAGCTGTTGGCTGTAAAATTATTTTAAAGTTTGCTGTGTTTGGAAATTTTCATAATAAAATGCTGGAAAAATACCAATATCAAAACACAGATCTCAAATATATGTTGGCAAAAATATTAAAAGATACTAGGACTTTAAAATAGCAAATTAATGGAAACAACCCAAACCTATCTAGAGAAGAACTTGGTGAAAACACTGTAACAGGCCGGGTGTGGTGGCTCACACCTGTAATCCCAGCACTTTGGGAGGTCAAGGCGGGCAGATCACAAGGTCAGGAGATTGAGACCATCCTGGCCAACATGATGAAACCTCATCTCTACTAAAAATACAAAAATTAGCTGGGTGTGGTGGCAAATGCCTGTAATCCCAGCTACTCAGGAGGCTGAGGCAGGAGAATCACTTGAACCCAGGAGTCTGAGGTTGCAGTGAGCCGAGATTGTGCCATTGTATTCCAGCCTGGGCAAGAAAGGAACTCCATCTCAAAAAAAGAAAAAAAAGAAAAAAGAAAAAAAGAAAAAAAATCATGTTTTTCAGACTGAACTTTGGAAACATGTAAATATTTTACATAATTATAAAACAGATTTAAATTAAAATTCAATCTCTAAAATTTGAAAGTAAAATGAATCAAAGTAACTTAAATGTTTATGAAACTGGTGATATAATCATCAAGAGAAACTATTTCAAATGATTCTGAAATACAAATTTGATTACTCATCTCCCATCTGACATAACTTTTGAGTAACTGTTGTCACTGTTTTATGTGTAACAAATGATTAAAAGTACAATGTTACTTGGAACTAGAATTTTCAGTATCTAAAAAAAGGAGAAACAAGCGGTCTATGTAAAAATCCCATATCCTAACTTTGAATTGGAAACATCGAATGAACTCATATTTTATCTTTTGTGTGAGTATGTGTCTGTTTCCCTGCTCTGTCCACCGAAATGCCCTAGAAACAATCAAGAACCTGGTGGGAGTGGTTCTTTATCAAAGCAGCTTTACTAAAGAAGAAATACAGATGGTAAACAGCACGCAAAAACATGCTCAGCATCAGCAG